GATTCTTGATGTTTCATAGAGTCATTAGCTTCCACTTGTGCTAATTCTAATTTTTAAGAAATTATTTTCTACAGTAAGCTTATGTAGCTCCTTTTCCATTTGGACAATTCTACTTTTAAAAGAGTTGTTTTCTTCAGGGGATTCCCCCTCCCTCCCATTTTGCCATATCTATTTTTAAGGAGTTGTATTCATCAGTTAATTTTTGTGTTTCCTTTTCCAAGCTATTGACTCATAATTTTCTTGTGTAACTCTCACTCCTTTCCCCAATTTTTCTTGATTTTTACTTGATTTTTAAAATCCTTTTACTTGATCTTTAAAATCCTTTTTATGCTCTTACTTGATTTTAAAAATCATTTTTATGCTCTTCCAAGGGAATTTTTTGGGCTTGAGACTGATTCATATTCCACTTTGAGACTTCACATGCAGGCATTTTGACACTGTTGTCCTCTTCTGAGTTTGTGCTTTGATCTTCCCCATTGCCATAATAGCTTTCTATGGTCAGGGCTCGTTTTGTTTTTTTTGCCCAGTTTTTAAAGTTGATATCTTCTCCTGAGGCACAGGGGGCACTGTCCTAAGCTTCTTGCACTGGGATCCAGGGGCCTGGTCACTGGTTTTCTGCGCCAGGGTGTCAGGTTCTGGTGGCTTGCCCACTGTGCTGAGGAGACCTGGCCTAGTTGTACCTGTTGTGCCAGTGTTCTGGGGCTGGCAATCTGCCTTCTGTACAGGGACTGGCAGTCTCACAGATGGTATACTTTGCCACTGCCTGCCAAGCCAGGACTGAGGGGCCTCAGTTGCTGATTTGCGTGGTGGTTAAGAGTCTCCCATTGCTTTACCTGGATATCACCCGGGCTGGGTTGCACCACCCTTTTACCCAAGTGAGACAGACGTTATCATAAGCTGGAAAAAATTGTTTCACTCCATCTTTTTGTGGGTTCTTTCACTCTAGATTCCATTCAGAGGCTTGATTTGATGTTTCTGAGGGAAACTTAGGAAAGCTCAGGCAACTTCCTGGCTTCTCTGCAACATCTTGTCTCTGCCCTGTACTTGTATTTCTTTCATTGTTTTGTGGAAGCTGATACAGGAGCTGCATTGAGTGTGTACTGCGTATGAATTAGCTGCATTTATGTGTTAGATTTCTCTGGTGTTAATTAAACGATTTTACCTTCTCATAAATTCCATCTTCTGTGGATTTAACTATTAACTGATGGGTTGGAGTAAAGGACTAATCTGCCATTTTATGGTCATGTTACTGGAGCTAACATTCTAATAGGTAGATACAACAGAAATAGTGAAGTGGTAGATAGGGAAGCAAGTTTTGGTTTAGGTAATTACAGGAATTATATAGAAGGAGAACTGTAGGGCAATAGTTTGTCATTTCCTTTCTGGTGAAATTGTAGTACTGATTTAATTATTGTTTCCAGAGAAAGAGCAAGAGGGAGGAAAGTGCATAGAATAGAAAGGGATATGCAACAGATAACAAGATGGTTGTGCTAGGGTAGCTCTGGTATCTTTAGGAATGGCTAAATAATCTATAAAGCATGATCTAAGCCTGGCTAGATAGAGTGGGTTAAGATGAATTTTAAATAACTTATTGAAGAAAACCCAGCCATATTTTGAAACCCTAAGTGTAAATAAATAAATTATAGCAGATTACTTATACTGAATACTTTTACCAGAGCTATATAAACAAAAGCATTATCAAAGAATATGATCATCATGATTAGAAAATGAAAAAGACCTGGAAGAGTTAAATGGAATATCTAGTCCTTTCAATACTAAGAGCCATACTTGCTAAGTTATGTGTCATGTTTTAATCAATCACTTGGTTGAAACCAAAGAAAACATGTAATTAAATCTGCAACAATATGAAGTTGGAGAAGTTGATAAAACATTGGCTAATAAAATTCCCAAAAGAATTCAAAATGTTAGAGATCTGGACATTGCCAGATATATTACTTTGAGTTATAGGTTTGGAGAAATGGAGAGTCCCTCAAAGTGTCTTTACCTACAAAGAGCAACACTAATGGCTTAAGTGAATGCTTTGTGTATCTGTATTCAGCACATAGTATATAAATGCTAATTATTATTATTAATAGAAATGAACAACAGGGGAATTGTTTTAAGTAAGAATAAGATATAAGAAATAAACATCATAATGGACTCTATACCAACTGGGTCCCCAGAGTAGTCAGAATATAAGTTACTGAGTATAAATATCAATAACTGTTTTCAACATATTTCAAACAAATCACTAACAGATGATTGTTTTAATGTCATTTTTGAGTTAGCAAGTTAACAACAGCAACAAAAAAAAGATTTTTAAAAATATGTATTCCAATATTATCAGAGGCAGGAAAAATACCAAGCTGTTCCAACAGGATATAATAGGCTCTTGGAAATATTTTGTTTTTAGGGAATAGTAAAAGAAAAGGAAGGCTGAAAGTAGATTTTGAATTTTATGTTACATAAGGACGAATTAGAATAGTTGTCTAGAAATAGATATGATATCCTTTCCTTATCATAAGAAGTATTGTATTGTGTCACAGGAATTGGATTTGTTCTCTCTGATGATGAGTAACAGTTCTCAAAGTGTAGTCTATTGATCTCTATGGGTTCCTGGCATCATTTCCATGAGATCAAAAGTACTCTCATAATAATGTTAATATGTTATATACTTGTTAAAATATTTCTTACTTTTCCAACCACACATCTGTATGAGGTCAGATCACTTCATAGTTCAACCAAGACAAGATACTTCAACAAATTGAATACAGAGACAGAAAGGAGACTATAGATGACAGCTAGGTGGCATGATGGAGAGAGCATTAGGCCTGGAGTCAGGAAGATGAGTACAAATATGGCCTTAAACACTTAATAGCGTTGTGACCCTGGGGAAGTAAACATCTGTTTGCCTCAATTTCCTCATCATAAAATGGGGGTAACAATAGCACCTACATCCTAAGGTTGTCATAAGGATCAAATGGGATAATAATCATGAAGTGATTAGCATAGTGCCTGGCATGTGTTAAGTACTATATAATCTGTCTTCTGTTAAGTCAGACATTAAAGAGATTTGCAAAAACATGTAATACAATGCCACTTTTCTCAATACTTATTTTCCTTTGGAAATTATTTTTCATATAAATTTTATTTGTATTTAATATAATGGGTTAGTATTGTTATTTTAATAAATAAATATTCAAAAGTTATAATCTTAAATTTATATTATAATAAATATTAAAAGACATAACCCAAACTAAAACAAAGCCCTTTAGGTTCTCATTGATTTTTTAAGAGCAAAACAGATATGCCCAAAGTGCTATAAAACTGCACATATCCTTTGACCTAGCAATTCCACTACTAGATCTATATCCCTAAAAGGTGAAATAAAAAGTAAAAGTATGAATTAGAAACTAAAGTAAGAATCAGAAACTGATAGGATGCCCATCAATTGGTAAATAGCTAAAAAAGTTAGGGTATGTGATTGCGATGGAAACCTAACGCATTATAAGAAATGATGAGCAGGATAGCTCCAGAAAAAGCCAGAAAGACTTAATATGAACTGATGCAAAGCTAAATCAGCAGAACCAATAACATCAATATTGTAATGATAATCAACCATAAAACACTTAGCAACTCTGATCAATACAATGACCTGTGACAATTCCAAAGGACTCACTGTGGAAAAAAATTCTACCCACATCCAGAGAGAGAACTGATGAACTCTAAGTGCAGATTAAAGCATTTTTCCATTTTATTTTTCTTATCTTTTTTTTCTTTTTGTAATAAAGCTAATAAGGAAATATATTTTGCATAACTTCACAGGTATAAGAAATTATATTTCTTATCTTCTTAATTAATGGGGGTGGAGCTAGAGGGAGGGAGAGAATTTGGAACTTAAAAAAAAAAGAATGCTAAATTATTTATTTATTTTGATAAGGCAGTTGGTGTTAAGTGACTTGCCCTGAGTCACACAACTAGTAAGTGTTACATGTCTGAGGCCGGATTTGAACTTAGGTCCTCCTAACTCCAAGGCCAGTGCTCTATCCACTGCATCACCTAGCTGCTCCAGAATGTTAAATATTTTAAAAAGGATAAGGAATAATAAGGTACAACCATATCCAGGTAATAAAATTATAGCTATAAAAAAATTGCTCTCCTGCCTAGGGCAAAACGAGAAGGAATAGGTGGAATTTGCAGAGGCAGAATTCAGTCAGATGTAAAGAAAACTTTCCTAAATATTAAAACTGTGCCAAAACAAAATGGACAGTTTTGAAGAGCAGCTAATTTCCCTTCATCACATATTTTCAAATGGAAGTTGGATATTGGGGATGTTTATATTGTCCTATAGGATGGTCTAGTATAATGTGTAACCACTCTAAGAGTTTGTAAAACTGTAATCTGCGATAAAGTATAATATTTTAAAATGAAAGTAAAATAATGTTTTGAAATACTCAAAGACAATCAATACTACAGTAATAGCCATGATGTCTAATTGCTTATATTTCAAAGATGCTAAATCCTACATATCTACATGTGTGTATGTTACTGTATATATTTATTTATTTAGATTTGTTTAGTCATTTATAGCATTTGTTTAAATAATATTTACTACATAATAATATTATGTTGTTTATATTGTTACATTATTGGCTATTTAAATAGCCATAAAATGGCTATTCTATTTATTTATTTACTTATATTTATTTATTTATTTAAATAGCCATTTATAATTCATTTTATCTAAATATTATATTTATATATAAACCATATACACACATTGTTTTCTTTCTCTTTTGTCCCAACATTATAGTTACTGGCTATTTAGAGTTGCACTGGACAAAATTTTGAAGGACATACTGCTGGGTGTATGTCAATAATGGGAAAAAGTGGGAAAAAAAATTCATCTAGTAACGTTTTCCAACTTACCCTCTTGTTTCGCTGTTGAATATAAATTACTTTTATAAAATTTTATAAAAATACTCTTTTTGATATATTACCGTGTCTGACTTGTCAGCCTAAAGGCAACAGTAGATTCCTTGAACAAGCCAATCCCTTCAATATTGATAACATCATCCACTTCCGGCTCAGTGGCAATCAGAGTTATTGGAAACTTCCATATCCCATCTGTGTTGCAATGAACCGCCAATGTGATTACAGATCTTTGGAAAAAAAATATATGTATATATAGCAATGAATAAAAAAGGTAAAATGCTCAGTGACAAAATGAGTATAATGGAATTAATAAATCTATCAATCAGATTACATGTGTAATCTGGATCAGACGATCTAGAACTGTTGTGAACTAACTGTGATAGGGATATATTGAGTAGTATGGAGGAATCATTTTCAGACTTTGTTTGGGATTTCATTTTCAAACTGTTTCTCTTTGTTCATGTTTATCTTGCAATAGTTGACCCTAATAGAGTCATAGGTAGGCAATTAACAGGCTGCATATATTACATAAAGAGACTTAGGAAAAGTTTTCTACTCTAATAGAATAGAAAGAGAATTTGATTACTTTTTAAAAAAATCTGATTTTGAGCCCTGGCTTTACCACTTATTATTTATGATTACTTAAGGTCTTTGTACATCAGTTTCCTCATCTGAAAAATGGGGGTAGTAGTAGTAGTAGCAGCAACAGTAGCCAGAGCATCAGCATCATTAATAGTACTAGTAGTAGTAGCAGCAGCAGCAGCAGTAGTGATGCTCATAGTAATAAGAAATTGTTTTTCAGTATTCTTTTGAAATATGTCATCGCATAGGAAAATTGGATATTCCACAAACTATCATAAAGTTCCTTTAAATTATTTGAGGAAATTTGTTATTAAATGTACAATATTAGGTAACATTAACTCTTCAAAAATGAATATTTTAAAATAAAACAGGTTAAGGGTATATGTAATACAACCTAAAACACTACTTCTTCATATTCTATTTATCCCCTTATAGTCCAAGACTTATATTCAAAGACTTGACCATGAGTTCTGGCTCGTCCACATGATCCTGGACAAGTCATTTAACCTAACTCTTGGTTTTCTCATCTATAAAATAAATTGCTTATCTATCTCGCAGAGTTGTTGTGAAGTTATAAAATAAGATAAAGTGCATAAAGCATACTGTAAATAGGAAATGATATTTAACCTACTAACATCACAATTATTATTGCTGGTCTTGTATAATTCATATGATATATAGGCTACAAAAAAAGCTGGCAGGTTATTATCAATGAATCATAGTTGTATTTCTAATCTTACTTAGAGAACTTCAGCAGAAAAATAGGATCTGGAGCCATTGATGAGGTTATTGTCTGTCATTTGTGTTAGTGGGAGACAAGTAAAACAATGAAAATAAAAGAATAAGCAAATGAGAATCCTACAAGTTGGATCACATTAAGCTACCAACCAACAAAAGTTTGTACACACACACTCCCTATAAAATCACCTTCCCAAATATAGGATAATAATAACAATAATAACTAATAAGAATAACTTTTACATAGTGCCTATTACTTGCCAGGCACTTTGCTAAGTACTTTACAAATAGGATCTCATTTCTTCCTCACATCAGCTCTGCGAATTGAGTGCTATTATTATCCCCATTTTATAGTTGAGGTAACTGAAGCAAACTGAAGTTAAATGATTTGCCCAAGGTAAGAAAGCTAGCAAGTGTCTGAGGTCAGATTTGAATTCTTCTTTCCACTGTGCCACCCAGTTCCTTTTTAAAAAAAAAATTACCCACAAAGTATGACATAGCCCAAATTGGAACTAACCCTGACAACATCTCCCAGTGATATTCTTTCTCCCTTTGGCCTTATCCACCTATAACCACTACTCCCCATACCTATCATTAAGGAAGCAAATCTCTTCATACAAGAAGCACTGTGAAAATGAAATGAAACAGAATGAGGGAGAAAAAACCAAGTACATGATATCTATTTTCACTCCCCAACTGGTTTTTATCTACAGCATTTGACCCAGTTGATTACTTTCTCGTCTTTGATATTCTCTTTTCTCTTGGTTTTCAGGACACCACCCTCTCCTAGTTTTCCTCCTACCTATCTAACCACTCTTATTGCATCCTCATCCAGAAGGTTCTGTCCTGGGCCCTCTTCTCTTATCCCTCCATATTTCTTCACTTGGTGATCTTATCAGCTCCTATGGTTTTAATTACCACCTCTATACTGATGATTCTTAAATGTATCTATCCTGCCAAAACTTCTCTGCTGACCTCCACTTCCAATTGCTTTTCAGACATCTCAAACTGGTTATCCAGGAGACATTTTAAATTCAACATGGTCAAAATAGAATTCAGTATCTTTTCCCCATACCCCACTCTCCATATCTTTCTCTATTACTGAAGAAGGCAACATCATCCTCCTAGTCCCTTAGGCTCACAACCTAGGAATTGTCTTGCATTCCTCACTATCCCTCACCCCTTTATCCAATCTGTTTCCAAAGTCTATTGATTTCACCTTTTCAACTTTTCATGAATTTCCCCCCTTCTCTCTTCTGCCACCGCTTTGGAGCATGCCCTTGTCATTTAGTCTCTGGACTATTCCAATAGTCTGCTGGTGGATCTGCCTACCTGAAGTCTCTAACCACTCCAATCCATTATCCATTTAGCCACTACATTTATGTTCCTAAAGCCCAGGTCTGGCCATGTCACCTCTCTACTCAATAAGCTCCAGTGCCTTCCTATTGCATCTAGCAATAAATAGAAAATGTTCTGTGTAGTACACAGACTTCCATAATCTAACTCCTTCCTTCCTTTCTAGTTTTCTTACACCTCAATCCCCATTACATACTGCCATCCAATAGCACTGGCCTACTGTATACTTCTATCTTTTGGCTCTAGGCATTTCCTCTGGTTATCTTTCATGCCTGGAATGTTCTCCCTCTTCTACTTGAACTACTGACCTCCCTGGCCTCTGTTAAGTCTCAAGTAAAGTCTCACCTTCTATAGAAAGCCACCCATAACCTCTTTTAATTTGAGTGTTTTCCCTCTGATAATTATTTCCAATTTATCCTGTATATAGTTTGCTTTGTATATATTTCTTTGCATGCTGTCTCCTAGATTAGATTGTAAGATTCTTGAAAACAGGACTATGTTTTTCATCTTTTTGTATCCCCAGTATTTAGCACAGCCTGGCACATAGTAGGGACTTAATAAATATTGATTGATTGACTGAAGTATCTACTATGTGCCAGGAAATGTACTAAGTGCTGAGGATACAAAAAGAGGCAAAAGAGAGTCCCTGCCCTCAAGGAGCTCTCAATCTAAGGGGGTAATCAATTAACAATACTGATTGATTGATTGATCCAACTCACTGCATTTTTCTAGTAATATTATCTGAATTTTTTTCAGTTCTGGGTATGTATGTCAAAAACACTCAAATTTACTTTAAAACAAATTTTGTATTGTCTATATAACCTCTTGACATAGAGAGAGTAGATAGAATTACTATAGCTTTAAGAGACACGTAAAATGCTGTGCAAATGACTCCCCATAGTATGTGGTCAAGAAATGCTTATTTTGAATTGAGCTTGTCTGACTGAGCAAGTCACATTCCTTTTCTACATCCCAGCATTTCTCACTTATAAAATTATGGTATTAGACTAGAGATGATCACTAAAGGCGTTTTCTAGTTTTGAATTATCTGAGCCTAGATCTTGATAGCTATCAGAGGGACTGTTCAGACACAGGGCATGAGAGAAGCTAAAGACAGGGTTTTCCTCACAGTGAAAGAAAGCTCAACGTAGGAGCCACAGAAAGAAAGAAGATGGAAAGGTCTCCTTTTTAGATGAAACTATTTTAACTATTCCCTAGTGAAAAGGATTGAGAATTCTTGTGTGGTGACTTTGCTGAACTATATGGTGTGGAATAATTTTCTTAGACGTGAAATCATTTGCTATTTTAGTTAGAATTTTGAGTGACTGGTTACAATTGGTTTTCACATCTAAAATATTATAAATAATTTTCCAGGTCTCTTTTATTACTGATTTCAATGTGAATAAAGTCAATATTCAGTGACTTCAATATTTCTTTAATGCTAGGAGATTAAGGAGATTAGTTATATTAATCTAGGAGATTAATATGTACAGAGTGGAGTAAAAACTATTAGAAAAGGAAGTTTCTCCTGTCTATGAAATAAATGATATTGGATTGCATGATTTCTGAGCTTAGTTGATTGAGAGATTTGTTAAAATTTTTACTAATTAATGAGAAAATAAACAAATGAACCCCTGTATTAACTTAGAGAACAAGGTAAGATTAAATAAATATAGTGACAAGTCAAGCAGCAGACTTAGGGGTGCTATATAAATGAGTCGGAAATACCCCATAATACCTTACTATTCCTGCATGGTGCTACATATAGCCCACTAAGGGTAAAGTTGGTGTAGTGCTTAAAACTCACTTTAAGTACATAAAACAATTTATCCTGTACCAACAGAGTTAATTCACAAGAACAAGAAAAGGTCATCTATTTTTGAAATATGGATAATTTTTATTCTTTAAAAGAATGTGGAGAATAGGCTTACCTCATTGGTTTCTTTGGTGCAAAGATTATATTGAAGACTAGTGATATAACCCCATTTTCTATATTTCGTTCTTTACTGGTCAGATATAAGGCAACACATGATTCCAAGTTAGATTTCATGAGATCAGATTCAAATTGAATTTCATACTGAAATTCATGCACTTCAGGCAAATCTAGAAAACATGAGACCAACCAATTCTGTTCAGTAAATATTATTTCAGAAGCTGCTATGTGTTCAACACTCTGCTACGGTGGCAAAGGGAAGAGATAGCATACAAAACAAGGAGAAAAAATCTCATCTCAGCAACCTAATTAGAGCAGACTACACACACACACACACACACACACACACACATATGCATATACATACACACACGTATATATATATATATGTATACTGTGTGTGTGTATAATACATACATATAAATTTACCATTTGTTGTCACATTTCAGTTATGGCTGATTTTTCATGACTTCATGTTGGGGTTTTCTTGGAAAATATACTAGAGTGGTTTGCCATTTCCTTCTCTAGATCATTTGCAGAGGATGAAACTGAGTTAAGTGAATTGCCTTAGGTCACACAGCTAGTAAATATCTGCAGCTGGATTTGAACTCAGGTCTTCCTGACTCCAGGCCTGTTGACCTATCCAGTGTACTACCCAGCTGCCCTATACTTGCCCATATATATGATCATATGACTATATCTATATGCAGCCATATGTTGATATTTTCTCAGTTGTTATGTAACCATATGCTATCATTATAGTATTATTATAAACCACATTGGTATACAAAGATTATTTATTATCACTACTTTTATGTTTTTATGAACTAATGTTTGGGGCAGCTAGGTGGCGCAGGGGATAGAGCTCTGGCCTTGGAGTCAGAAGGACCTGAGTTCAAATCTCATCTCAGACACTTGACATTTACTAGCTGTGTGACCCTGAGCAGGTCACTTAACCCAATTGCCTCACCAAAAAAATTTTAAAAAAAGATAATGTTTACATAGCTAATTAAGCCTAAAAAGGGTTTTAGATATATCATCTCATTTGATTAGCACCACAACCCTGAGAGGTAAATAGTGTCATTAACTCCATTTAAAGAATTCCTGATAACAAAGTCCCCTCTCTTAATGCAAATCAACAATAGCCTTGCTGTTCCATGGCACTTTTAAAATAATGTTTAACAATATTATTTATTAAAATATAACAATATTACTTACCAGAAATATTTTATACACATGTGTATGTTTATGTGTGTAAACTTACATAATGATCTTATTGAGATCATTATGAGAGGCAGCTTAGTGTAATAGACAGAGGTCCTATTTCAAATCAGATTTAAGTCCTGACTCTGATATATACAAATGTGTTATCTTAGGTAAGTTCCTTAACTCTCTGTGACTAGACAATTTCATTAAGTCTATAAATTATAAGGTACTTTAGGACAGACACAGTTTCATTTCTGTCTTTATATCTTAAACATTTAGTTTAGTACCTGACATATAGGAGGCATTTAATAAATGCTCACTGACAGTTGAATAATAATTGATAGGTAGATTTGAGAGATATCTGCCCTAAGATGATCACTGAATAAATAGGAACTGATGAAATCAGTAAGAAAATGAATATTAAAAGAAAAGACAAGGCAAAGCTGAAGAAGAAGAAGAAGAAGAAGAAATCACTTAACCCTGTTTGCCTCAGCTTCTCATCTGTAAAATGAGCTAGAGAAGGAACTGGCAAACTACTCTAGTATCTCTGCTAAGAAAACCCTAAATGGAGTCATGAAGAGTTGGACACAACTGAAAATAACTAAGCAGCAGCAAATTATAAATATTATTATTTTCTTTTCTCACATCACCCCTGGGTAGGTAGGTGCTATTATTATTTTCATTTTACCGATGAGAAAACTGAGGCTGAGATATGTTAAATGACTTGCCCAGAATCACACAGCTAGTGTCTGAGGCCAGATTTGAACTCAAGTATTCCTGGCTTCTAATCCAATGTTCTATCTACCATGCTACCTAGCTGAAAAGTATAGTGTTATTAAAATCTAGAAAAAAGACAAGCTATTGTCCAATATATTAATTGCTAATATATACATGCCACTATAATATCTGCAAAGTGATTAAAATAAAATATCTTCATTGAACTTCATAATGACCATGTGTGACACACTATAATCTTTTTTACAGATGAGGAAACTAAGCTGTAGAGGCAAAAAAGGTGGAATCTGAACCTGAGTTTCTCCTGATTTCAGATCCACTTTTCATTAAACCCTGCTAATTCCTTTGTCAATTTCAGTTCTCATTAGAGAAACTAAAATATAGCTTGACTATAAATTTGAGAGTAGTCAGATTTCATAGTTACTCATGAAATTTTGTTAGCCTAAAGAGAAAAAACACACACCCTTTACCATATTTTTCCTTAACATCCTCTCCTCTCACTCATTCCTCAAAAGGAAAAAAAAATGCACCCAAGAGGTTCCCCAGGGAGCAATATTTTAACTCACACTTAAATTTCCCTACACTGTCTTCTCTCCCCATGCTACTTTTCCCTTCAGGATCCAGTTCAAGTCTCACTTCTTCCAGGAGGTCAGCCTTGACCACTCCAGCCTACAATGTAGTGAGACTATTGACAACTCCTCTAATTACACATTTGGTATATCCTGCTTTTCACGTATATGAGATCTCCCTGGGTAGACAATAAGCTTCTTGAGGATAAGCACATTTTCAAACATCTTATTTCAACAGTACTTGTACAGTGTAGGTTCTAATAATATTTTTGACTAATAGAATGCTTGAAAAAGGACAAAACCAGAATGTAATAAACTTTTAATCATTATTATATTAGACAACCTTGGATATAAGTGCACAACAGTGGCTTCAATCAAGCTTATTTTTTAAAATTATCCATCAAGTATATTATATCATAATCATATGTTAGATGTCTCAGTTTTAAAATTTATTTTCTAAATTATTTATTTCAACTAGAAAATAAATAGAAACCAACATATTGGCACTATAAAAATTCTTTTATTTTACTTTTACTTTCAAGTTTCCTAAAATTCAATTAATCAGTTAACAACTATCAGCACTGCAACCAAAAGAAAACAGGTAAAGGAAATTTCACAGAATGTATAATGTTAGTTCTGGAAGATAATCCTGGCTGCCTGGCCTACTAGGAATTTACAGTCTCTGTAGGGAGCCAAGATTAAAGCGAGATAATCTATAAAAATTCAAATTAAATATAACTACTTAGTTTGACTGAGACCTTCAGTGGGTAAAACTATAAGTTACCAGTGAATCTATAATCTAAATGGATGGCAGGAGCATGACATCAAGAGTTCCCCATAGGAGAATGTTCATTATCGCCATCATTATTCAATATTGTACTAGAAATGCTAGCTATAGCAAGGAGAGAAGAAAAAGAAATTGAAGGAATTAGAATGGGAAATGAGGCAATAAAAGTATCACTCTGCAGATGATATGATGGTATACTTAGAGAACCCTAGTAAATCAAGTAAAAAATTAGAAACAATTACTTTAGAAAAGTTACAGGAAATAAAATAAATTTACACAAATCATCAACATTGGTAAATATTACCAACAAATCCCAGCAGGAAGAGATAAAAAGAGAAATTCCATTTAGAATAACTAAAGACAGTATAAAATATTTGGGAGTCTTCCTGCCAAGATATACCCTGAAACTATATGAACACAATTGCAAAACACTTTTCACATAAAGACTCAAGTAAACAACTGGAGAAATATTAATTGCTCATGGGTAAGCTGAGGCAATATAATAAAAACGACAATTTTACCTAAATTAATTTCTTAATTCAGTACCATTCCAATCAAACTACCCAACAATTATTTTACAGAGACAGAAAAAAATCATCTCAAAAAAACAATAGGTTGAGTATATTAAGGGAATCAATGAAATAAAATGTGAAGGAAGGTAGCCTAGCAATATCAAATTTTAAAATATAATTCAAATTAGTAATCATCAAAACATTCAGTACTAGACAAGAAATAAGAGTGGTTGATCAGTGGAATAAATTAGGTACACAACATGCAAAAGTAAATTATCATAGTAATCTATCATTGGATAAACTTGAAAGATAGGGGCAAGAATCCACTATTTAACAAAAATTTCAGAGAAAACTAAAAAGAAGTCCGACAAAAACTAGACAAAGACCAACATCTCACATCATATAATAAGATGAGGTCAAAATAGGTACATGATTCAGACATAAAGTGTGATATCATAAGCAAATTAGAGGACTATGGAAAAAATAACTGTCAGAATCTATGGATAATAGAAAATTTTATGACCAACAAGACATAGAGAAGATCACAAGAGATAAAATGGATAATTTTTATTACATGAAGTTAAAAGGTTTTGCACAAACAAAACAAATACAGTCAAAATTAAAAGGAAAACAGGAAATAGGGAAAATTTTTTATAGCATTTCACTAATAAAGGCCATATTTCTCAAATATGTAGATAAATGAACCAAATTTATAAAAATAAGAGCCATTCCTTAATTGATAAATGGTCAAAATATTTGAACAGACAGTTTTTGGAAAAAAGAATCAAAGCTATCAATAGTAATATGAAAAATGCTCTAATAATTAGAAAAATACAAATTAAAAGAACTCGGAATATACTACCTCACACTTATCAGATTGGCTAACATAATAGAAAAGGAAAATGACAAATGCTGGAGGGGATATGGAAAAATAGTTATACCCTGTAAATTCAGGAGAACAACTGGGAACTATGCCCAAAGGGCTATAAAATTTTTCATATCCTTTGATCCAGCAATACATCACTACTAGGTTTATATCCCAAAGAGATCAAGGAAAAAGGAAAAGAACCTCTATGTACAAAAATATTTATGGCAGCTCTTTTTGTTGTGGCAAATAATTAGAAATTGGAAGAATGTGTATCTGGTGGGGAATGGCTAAACAAGTTGTGAGATGGGATTTTGATGGAAAACTATTGTGCTATAAAAAATGATGAACAGAATAGTTTCAGAAAAACCTTGGAAGACATACGAATTGATGCAAAGTGAAACCAAGATAATATTGTACGTAATAACTGCAATATTATAATGGTCAAATGTGAAAGACTTAGCTATACTGATCAGTAAAATAATCCATGATAATT